CACCACCTGTCAAGTAAGCAGTATAAAATACAGTAAAATAAGTAGAGGGAGAGAGAAGACAAGGTTTATAGTGGTTCGGTCAACGTGACCTACATTCATTTTGAATGACAAGGGTCACCAATATTTTATTAACTTAGGTGTGTAGGGAGAGCAAAGAGTTACAAGCTTTGAGAGAGTGAGGAGAAAATTATCTTGAATGAGTGTCTTGATGATGCTCCCTAAGTGTTGGTGGGACTTACAATTTATTGTGGCTTAGTATAGTAATAGAATAGCTAGTTTGACGGTCATAACGGGTTGGAACTGTTTAATAGTCATAACGAATTGGGGGTGACTTTAATAGTAATTAAATATCTTGACGACCTCTCCTTTTCTCGATGGGTAAGGAAGTTATGATGCTCTCCAAAAGACTTGGTCAAAGGATGAGGGAAGGTTGACTCTCTTTAAGTGGCAAGGATGAGGCTCTTGGATGACCCTTACTTCAAGGTGGCTAGGAGGAGGCTCTCTTGCTGATTTACCTCCTCGAACCTGGTAAGCTTGATCGGGCGTGGACCACTTTGGGCGCTAGATCTCTCGGAGTTGGGCTCTTAATTTAAACTGGGCTTACAACATGGGTTGGGCCCTTGGGCCTGACCCATCATTTAAAATTGATGATGCAGAAATTAGTTTTGCACACCATCTGTCAAGTAAGTAGTATAAAATACAGTAAAACAAGTAGAGGAAGAGAGAAAACAAGGTTTATAGTGGTTCGGTCAGCGTGACCTACGTCCACTTTAAATGACAAGGGTCACCGAAATTTTATTAACTCAAGTGTGTATGGAGAGTAAAGAATTACAAGCTTTGAGAGGGTTAGGAGAGAATTATCTTGAATGAGTGTCTTGATGATGCCCCCCAAGTGTTGGTGGGACTTATAATTTATAGTGACTTAGTGTAGTAATTGAATAGCTAGTCTGGTGATCATAATGGGTTGGAGTCGTTTAATAGTCATAATGGATTGAGGTGACTTTAACAGTAATTAAATAGCTTGACTACCTCTCCTGTTCTCAACGGGCAAGGAAGTTATGATGCTCTCCAAAAGACTTGGTCAAAGGATGAGGAAAGGTTGTCTCTCTTCAAGCTGTGAGAATGAGGCTCTTAAATGATTCTTACTCCAAGGTGGCTAGGAGGAGGCTCTCTTATTGATGTAGCTCCTTGAACCTGGTGAGCTTGATCGGGCGTGGACCACTTTGGGCGCTGGATCTCTTGGAGTTGGACTCTTAATTTAAACTGGGCTTATAACATGGGTTGGGCTCTTGGGATTGGCCCATTATTTGCCCCCCCCCCCCAATGCCCTATGTCTAACAGAACTTGGAAATAAGGGCATTCAGGTTGAGTTTGAATTTTCGGCTGACCAGCATAACTGGAAAAGTTTCAAGAGGCCAAAACCTACGATTTTAGGCCTTTTTTGAGCTATTACTACCATCACTCAAATCCAAAGGCTAGGATTCTTATAGGGCTCACCGAGAGCTTCGATTTGATGTATTATGGGCCTCATTTGGAGTAACAGACCGAAAGTAACAGTCAAAATAGAGAGTAGAAAGCGGCGGCGCGCGATTTTGGCCTCTCGAAGCTTTCCTAGTTATGCTGGTCAGCTGAAAATTCAAAATCAACCTGAATACCCTCATTTCCAAGTTCTGTTAAATGCAAGGCATTAGAGGGCAAATGATGGGCCAGACGCAAGGGCCCAACCTATGTTGTAAGCTCAGTTTAAATTAAGAGCCCAACTCCAAGAGATCCAGCGCCCAAAGTGGTACACGCCAGATCAAGCTCACCAATTTCGAGGAATTACATCATCAAGGGAGTCTCCTCCTAGCCACCTTGGAGTAAGGGTCATCCAAGAGTCTCTTCCTATCCACCTTGGAGTAAGGATCATCCAAGAGTCTCATCCTCGCCTCTTGAAGATAGTCAACTTTTCCTCGTCCTTTGACCAAGTCTTTTGGAGAGCATCATAACTTTCTTGCCCGTTGAGAGGAGGAGAGCTCGCCAAGTTATTTAATTACTGTGAAAGTCACCCCAATCCGTTATGACTATTAAACGGCCCCAACCCGTTATGACTACCAAACTAGCTATTTAATTACGACACTAAGCCACTATAAATTGTAAGCCCCACCAACACTTGGGGGGCATCATCAAGACACTCATTCAAGATAATTCCCTCCTCAACCTCTCAAAGCTTGTAACTCTTTGCTTTTCTACACACCCGAGTTAATAAAATACTAGCGACCCTTTTCATTCAATGTGGACATAGGTCATGTTGACTGAACCACTATAAACCTTGTCTTCTCTCTCCCTCTACTTGTTTTACTATATTTTATATTGCTTACTTGACAGGTGGTGTGCAAAACTAATTTGTGTATCATCAGTTTAAATGATAGGCTAGGCCCAAGGGCCCAACCCATGTTGTAAGCCCAGTTTAAATTAAGATCCCAACTCTGAGAGATCCAACATCCAAAGTGGTCCACGCCCGATTAACCTTACTAGGTTCGAGGAGCTACATCAACAAGAGAGCCTCCTCCTAGCCACCTTGGAGTAAGGGTCATCTAAGAGCCTCCTCCTAGTCCCTTTGGAGTAAGGATCATCCAAGAGCCTCATCCTTGCCACTTCTATAGAGTCAACCTTCCCTCATCCTTTGACCAAGTCTTTTGGAGAGCATCATAACTTCTTTGCTCGTTTAGGAGAGGCAAGGTTGTCAAGCTATTTAATTACTGTTAAAGTCACCCAAATCCGTTATGACTATTAAATGGTCCCAACCCGTTATGACCGTCAGACTAGCTATTCAATTACTACACTAAGTCTCTATAAATTGTAAGCTACCAACACTTAAGGGCATCATCAAGACAGTCATTCAAGATAATTCTCTCCTCACCTTCTCAAAGCTTGTAACTCTTTGCTCTCCCTATACACCTGAGTTAATAAAATACCGGCGACCCTTGCCATTCAAAGTGAACGTATGTCACGTTGACTGAACCACTATAAACCTTGTCTTCTTTCCCCCTCTACTTGTTTTATTGCATTTTATATTGCTTACTTGACAAGTGGTGTGCAAAATTAATTTGTGCATCATCAGTTTGACACCGTCTATGGAAAAATGAAAAAATTCTCTCCTAAACACTTTCTCTGCTAAATCAATTGTGATCACTACTAGAATCAATTGCAACCACCACTAGATCCATGAATCAGCCTGAAGAAAATCCAGCACGAGAGGAGGAGGTTGCTCCTCCACCTGCCAATCGCGTCCAAAGTGCACAACAGATGATGGACACAACGCAGGAGCTTATAGTCCAGAAATAACAAATCCTGCAACTGATGCTCATTGGACAACAAGGAGAAGCACAACCCGGAGGACCTCAAGCTAAAGGAGCTCCACGTCTTGGGCGTCAAGGAGCTCCCCACTTGGGCACTCCACATAAAAGAGCCCACCATGAGGGACCTCCACCTCCTCCTCGAGCTCCTTCTTCTCTTGGTGAAGACCCATATTTCTAAGAGGATGAGGGCAAAAACCACAGTGTGGAGCATGGAAGCCATTTCCATGACAATTACAAAGGAGCTCCTAACCACTGGGACGAAAAAATTAAAGTGTAGAATCAACTAGGCAACGTCTTCAATGCCATGAAGGCACAAGGACCCGAAACTGTCAATTACCTGGTAAGGCGAACTAGCACACCCTTCATACCAGATGTGGCGAACTATTCACTTCCCCAAAAGTTCAAAATGCCATTGGTAGAAAATTTCGACGGTACAAAGGACCCACTTGATCATCTTGAAAGCTACAAGACCTTAATACAGTTGCACAACGTCCCTGACGAAATTATGTGTAGTGCATTCCGTACCACCTTGAAGGGATCAACGCGATAATGGTTCGCCAAACTCACTTTGGCCTCTATAGGCTCCTTCGTCGAACTGAGTAGATCCTTTGTGAAATAGTTCATTGGTGGATGCTACCAGCTGAAGCTTGCCACTCATCTGCTTAGCATACAACAAGAATGAGATGAGAGTCTAAGGAGTTACCTCACTCATTTTAACGAGGAGGTTCCCAAATCGAGGAGTCCAATGACAAAGTTACCTTGACTACCTTCCTAGGAGATCTCCACTCATCGAGTTTCCTCTTTTCAGTAATTAAGCGACCACCAAAGAGCATGCTAGAACTATTGGCAAAAACTTAAAAATATATGAATGTTGAGGACATCAACAGGTCCAAGCGAGGTGAATCATCTCACCGGTCGCCACAAGCTTGACCTATCTCTGCTCCGCACTCAAGCAGACAACCTATCTCCAGCTTAGTATCTCTCCGTAGGTCACCAAAAAAAGCTTGTCCTATCTCTACTCTGCTCTCAAGCAGACAGTCTATCTCTAGATTAGTGGCTCTCTCGCGGGTCGCAAAAAAGCTTGCCCTATCTCTGCTTTGCTCTCAAGTAGGCAGTCTATATCTCCCGCTTATCAACTCTATCACGGTCACCAGAAGTTCAGTCTCAAGAGGCACAACTCTCTCATAAGCAACTTCAAACTCTGACTTTGCTCTCGTGCAAGCAACCTGCCTCTCTCTCCAGGTAATCATATTACATATTTTGATGTTTGGAATTACATTTTTTTTGCCATCTTTAAGCAGGATCTTGAAACTTAGGTCTTCTGCAACCCGAGAGACTACATTAAATTGAATGTCAACGATCGGGGCCTCATCCATCTGGCACTTGTTCCTAGGTACTAGCATCCCTTGAGCAACACCTAGTCCCATGAGTGCTCCTCAAGTAGCACCCAGCACTATAGGTGCTTCAAAGATGTTGTCCGCTGCCTTAGGCCTCAGCAGGCTACACACCTAAGGCCTAGCAACGCTTCCTCACCGCGCCTAATCTGCTCGCCAACCTCATGAGTAGTTCGCCCATCGCGAACCTCGTGGGCTGCTTGCCCATCTTGAAACTCAGGGGCTACTCGCCTATCTCAAATCTCAAGGGCCGCTTGCCCATCACAAGCCCAGGGCCCGCTTGCCCATCGTGGATATGGGAGCTGCTCGCCCATTGCAGACCACAGGGGTTGCTCGCCCCTTGCCTGACTGGGCAGCTTGCTCGTTTGACACTCCTTGGGTGGTGCTGGGCAACACCCAAATGGCCTCCTCCATCACCCGAGATCTCCCATCTTTAACAAAAATAGCGGGCTTGCCCTTTATAGGTTCCACCACCTCGGACAGTCCCATGGCGCACAAACAACAACGACGGTGGATGGCCCGAGCACCTCCACGCCGACGCCTGTTTTCTTTTCCTCTCCGAGAACAACATTAATTTCTCCAGGCTCTCCATCGAAATTCACAAACTCATCTATCTCAATTGACATTGCTCTGAATGTTGGGTTTAAGAATCTCACCCTTTTGTTCTTGAAGGATTTCAAGAAGAGCTCTCCTTTTTACTTAAAATTGTATGGAATGGGGCTCTTCAAGAATCCAAAAAAAAAAAAAAGGAATTAAAAGAGGAAGTTTACATAGCTAATGGAGTCCTACAGGCAAAAGGAGTCTACTAGAACGGAGGGAGTCGCCAATCAAAAAGTGTTTTCAAAAAATTCGAATTTAAAAAGGGTTGCACACTATTGTGACCGTAACTTTTGCTCTGTAACTACAAACGGGGCTTATTATATATCTAATTGAAGCTCTCGGCGAGCCCTACAATACTTATAGCCCTTGGCTTTTAGTGATGCTGTTAAAAGTCCAAAAAAGACTCAGAAACAATGGTTTTGGCCTCCAGAAATTTTTTCAAAAAAAAAATAAAATTTAGCGACTTGCCCAGGACGCTGCCTACTCGCCTAAAAGCTGTCTGCTTGCCTAAAATAGCGCGCCCAGCTCCCTGCTCACTATTTTGACCCTAACTTTCAGTCCGTTAGTCCAAATGAGGCCCATAATATATCAAATCGAAGTTTTCGGCGAACCCTACAAGACTTATAGCCTTTGGCTGTGACTAATTCTGTTAAAATCTCAAAAAAAAAAAAGCCTAAAAGCACAGGTTTTGGCCTCTCGACGCTTTTCTAGTTATGTCAGTTAGCCAAAAATTCAAACTCAACTTGAATGCCCTCCTTTCCAAGTTCTATTAGATGCAAAGTATTGGGGGACAAATGATGGGTCAGGCCCAAGGGTCCAACCCATGTTATAAGCCCAAAGTGGTCCATGCCCAATCAAGCTCATTAGGTTTGAGGAGCTACATCAGCAAGGAAGCCTCCTCCTAGCCACCTTGGAGTAAGGGTCATCCAAGAGTCTCCTCTTAGCCACTTTGGAGTAAGGATCATCCAAAAGCCTCATCCTCGCCACTTGAAGAGAGTCAACATTCCCTCATCCTTTTACCAAGTCTTTTGAAGAGCATCATAACTTCCTTACCCGTTGATGAGAGGAGAGGTCACCAAACTATTTAATTACTGTTAAAGTCACCACAATCCGTTATGACTATTAGACGACCCCAATCCATTATAACCGCTAGACTAGCTATTCAATTACTACACTAAGCCACTATAAATTGTAAGCCCCACTAACTTGGGGGGCATCATCAAGACACTTATTCAAGATAATTCTCTCATCACCCTCTAAAAGCTTGTAACTCTTTTCTCTCTCTACACACCTGAGTTAATAAAAATATCGCCGACCCTTGCCATTCAAAGTGGACGTAAGTCACGTTGACCGAACTAGTATAAACCTTATCTTCTCTCTCTCTTTACTTGTTTTACTGCATTTTATACTACTTATTTGACAGGTGGTGTGCAAAACCAATTTGTGCATCATCATATACAGTGCCCTCACAGCGATCCTTTGGTGGTAACCTTGACCATCTCCAACCATAAGGTCAAGAGGATCCTAGTCGACAATGAGCTCGGCAGACATCCTATACCTAAGGCCTTCAACCAACTCGATTTAGGTCGGGAGAAACTCCAACCCTTTGTCACTTCCCTAATTGAGTTCTCTAAAGAAAAATCTTTTCCCCTTGGCTCCAACCTCTTCTCGTCACAGCAGGGGATCTTCCTCAATGGTCAACAATCATGGTCAACTTTAGGATTATGGACTCCCTATCCTCGTACAATGTCATCATGGGGAGGCCAACCCTTAATGTCCTCTGAGTTGTTCCCTTTATTTATCATCTACTGCTATACTTCTCAACTTCGGAGGGAATATTTTAGGTGAGAGGAGATCAAGCAATGAAGAGGGAATGCTACACCCCTTCCCTACGAGAGAAGAAGCCCAAGGAAAGTCTCTAGGTCAAGTCCACGGATGCAAGAGATTGTGAAGAAATGGGAACCCAATTGGGAAACCTCGAGCTGGTAACAATTGACCAGAAGCCCTTCGAAAGAATAGTTCAGACTAGTGCTCTCCTCACACCCGAACTCCATGCTACACTTCTAGAATGCTTAAGGGAAAATTATAACGTTTTTACATGGGACCATCAGGACATGCTCGAAATTGAACCTGAAGTAATAACCCAACGGCTCAACATAGATCCCAACCATAAACACATCCGATAGAAGAAACAAACTTTTGCCCCATAAAGAAATAAGAAATCAACTAAGAAGTGGTCAAACTCCTCAAAGCTGATTTCGTCAATCGTCAAAGAACTGATGGGTTGTAATTATGGTGGTGGGTTTGATGGTTGTGGCTATTGGGTATGGTGGTGGGTTGCAGCACCGGTGCTAGGCAATGTTGGGACCCTAATCTCTTGTAACCATCAATTTACTGAAAAACAGACAAATGCATGCAACCTCTTTTTGTAGCCCCAAATCTTTTTTTTCCAGCTGTATAATATTTGTTGAAAGGTATGATTTATTCAAAATCAAGAATTTTTTAGATTTTTTATAGGTTTCTTAAGTTAATTTTTTAAGAAAATAGTCTTGTTAAACGAATCCCATCGAATAACCCATTAAATAAATGAGGCTCGTTCAAAAATGAGTCGTGAATATGTTAAGTTATTTTTGATACAAACTCGTTTTACATGACGTGAACTCACTTCACCAAATACAATTGCTAACCCTACTTACGACACAAGAATACAATGTGGCATTTTAATGACGTGTTTTGTAACATCGTAATACCAAGTGACTGAGATTAAATTTAATACATGGCCACTTATCCCTTGTTGCGAAGAAAAATTAGGCTTGGATTATTAAATAAAAAAAAGTTAAACCAGAATAGCAATATAGTGCCCCGTAAGAAAATATTCAATGTAATGATGAACCACGTCAGCATTATTATGTAGTATCAATGTTTAATAATAAATTAATAATTATTTAAAGTGAACCCCACACTTTCAATGGCAACACCTCAATGTGAAATAATCACTAATCCATGTAATGTAATTATTACCCAAATGAAGAATGCGATTCAATTTAGTTGATTACAAGTTTATTATTAGATGATAATATTATGTGAAAATGTTTAATGGTGCTCGAAATTAACTAGACTGGATTGCAGAACAATTTGGGGTGAAGCCCAATAAGTGCGTGTGAGTATGTATGAGAGAATGTGTGTGTATGATAAGTGTATGATAAAAGAAGAAGATAACAATATGAGTGATTCGCCTTTAACCGAAAGACTAAAGTTATATCTACTATACGGGAGTCTCTTGTTCCTTGAGACTTGTATTGTCTGAGGAAGAAAATTGTTATCGCAGTATGTTTGGCTTGAAGCCTTATACAAGATATCACCTGGGTTTTACTTGGTAGCTTTTCTAATGGCCATTTCCGTGCCCAATAGCCTTGTTGGCTATATATATAAAACTGGCAGTTAAGGTTTTGTATTTATCTTTTTTAGCTGATTCCGTGGTTCCTTTTGCATTTGTCCCTGTCCTGAAGCAATTATTCCTAACACTTTTCTGCATCCACTGCTCGCAGACCGGAGTAATTGAACCATCTCTATTACTTGCGGGTTTTTGTTCATCAGATCCGTTAGGTAATATTTCCTTATCTCATGTCCACGTGTCATACTGCAGTTCTTGCAGACTGCCCCTGTGCTGTGCTCCCATCTCCCAAACTGGTAGCTATACCGGGTTTGTTAATGTCGAGCTTCCCTCGAACCGGGTTGTAATCCAGTTGAAGCCTGAGGAATATTATCTGAATGAGCTGCTTAGACCGTTTTTTACAAGCCTAGAGGGTCTTGGACTCTAAAGCAATCCGGCTTAAACCGCTCATTATCAATATTAACATTATATTACGTTACAGTGGATATTAACTTGTGCACATAAGCGTATAAAATCGAGGTTTTTTTTTCTCCATGTTTGACCGACTAGAACTTCACCATTGTAGGCTCTGTCTGGTTAAATGAAAAGTCATGCAAAGTACAATAAATATAAAAAGGTCCAATGTTTTTGGGAGTTTGGTCATCAAGTGAGAGAGTTTTGCTGAAAAATCGGAATTACCAAATTTTCCACCAAAAGATCGCACTTTGTTTCTTGCAAAAAACACACTGAAACAGTCACCAAGGACATGGTTCGGTAAGTTTTTAGATACAGTTTGAGTTTGATCTTCTTCGATGTCAGACAAACCATTCTGTGTTTCATGGACAGCTAGATGCCGGATATGTTTTATTGGTGGTTTATGTAGATGATATTATGATTACTAGAAATGATTTTGAAGGAATTGTCAAGTTAAAAACCTTCCTACAAGACTGATTTTATACTAAAGATTTGGAAAAACTCAGATATTTCTTGGGTATTGAGGTGACTCGATCTAAACAGGGCATTGATTTATCCTAGAGGAAACATATACTTGACATGCTAGAGGAAACAAGTTTGTTGGTTTGCAGATCAATTGATGTTCCAATGGATCTGAATCAGAAACTGTTGATAAATGATGGTGCACTGTTTGAGAACTCGGCTCGGTATCGTAGGTTGGTTGGGAAGCTCAATTATATCATTATTACTCGACCGGATATTTTCTATGCAGTTAGTATAATAAGTCAATTTATGAGATGTCCTAAAGTACCACATTGGGAGACAATTACTCATATTCTACGACATCTCAAATGTGCTCTTAGTATTGGGCTATTAGATCGAACTAAATGACATCTTAGAGTGAAAGATTTCTCGGATGTTGATTGAGCTGACTTTCCTTCTAATTGAAGATCAGCCACTGATTGTTGTACTTTCTTATGAGGTAATATTGTCTCATGTAAAAGTAATAAACAACCTGTGATAACGAGATCCAATACTGACGCTGAGTATAGAACAATGATGCATACGACGAATGAGTTGACGTGACGTGACTACTAAATTTTCTCCAAGAAATTGAATTTTTCGTTCAACCTCCTTTATAATTGTTCCGTGACAATCAGATAACTATCTATATCGATATCAATCTAGTGTTTCACGAGAAAACAAAACATATTGAAGTTAATTATCATTTTATTCGAGACAAGATAATAACCAGAGAGATTACGACTCTATTTATGAAATTTGAAGATCAGCTTACAGATATTTTTACCAAAACACCAAGTCGTACACGTCTTACAATAATTTGTTCCAAACTTGAATTATATGATATATACAATCCAACTTGAGGAGGAATGTTAAGAATATTAGGGTATTATGTGTAAATATTAAGGGATATATACGTCTTTTATATTATTACAAGTTAACTATAAATACAAGTGATTTATGAGAGATAGGTTAAATTTTGACCACTCTTTGTTTCTTTCTAATATTGTATTAATTTTCAGAACTTAACAGAAATAAGGGATGTACACCGTGTAGTAAATCAAGTAACAAAAAATTTGCCAAAATGTATGGGCAAGCCTTTTGGAACAGGACCATAGCGATCCTTACAATTGTCTGAAATGGTCATCAAAGCATTTCCAGTCTAGTTATCAGATTCAATGACATCAACAGATCTCTGTTCCGGAATCAAAAGAACTCAATTGTAGAAAAAAAAATATAAATACAAAAAATAAAAAAAAATCAAGGTTAGTAGGAAATCTCTGCTCAAGTATACCAGTTTGTCATCTCTCAGTCAATTGTAGAATTAAACAGATTCATCCCCATTTATCTCGTCGCTGCCCCCATTGTCTTTGCCGAGCTTTGATTTTGGTAAAGAGAACGAAGCTTGTCTTGACGATGTTTTAACTGATTGCTGTTGTGAAAGCAAGTTAAGATAAGTGTAGAAAGACATACCAACAAGAGCAGTGATTGCTCCAAATATGCTAGTTGGTCCGGGATTGGAACCAAAGAGAAGAAAACCTCCAAGAAGAATGACACAAGTTTTGAACTGGCCAAGAACAACATGGGTAGTAGCTGAAGTTTGCCTGTGGAGAAAGAAAGCGAGCAGATGATAAAACAAAGATGATCTATAAAACAAACAAGCATGAAATAAGTTGTTTACTTTAAGCTGGCTGCATTCAATCTCAAAAACAGGTCAAAAAAGTCAGGTGTTATGAAATATAATTTTTGTTTCCATATCGCTGAAACAAATATTAGTGAAAACAGTTAGGTATGAGAATGCAAGAAGAACTAGTTTTGCAGTGAATTCCTTTCATTTCCATGTGAACCCACACAAAGGAAGGATGATGTTTAGAGAATCTCCGAAACTTGGCTTCACTCAACACTCGGCAACATCAAACCTCATGCACTGAGCTTAATAGAGCTAAGACTACTAGACTGCCCACTTGACCAGATACCATGAAACATCTTTATTGACTCCTTTACATTTTCTAATGTCTTATGGGATATCTGACACTAAAGTTGGCAACCTTGTTCACCTAGCACAACATCCCGATTCCATAGGGCTGCAGCCAAAGTGCCAACTATTCGGACATCAGGCTCAACAAACCACATCACTTTTGGAGCAAATATGATGAAGGTAATCCAAGGACCATTACTTAAAGTTCTCAACCTATGGGAATGTAATAGATATAGAGATGGGCAGATGTCACTCACCCAAGTGCTAGAGCACCTGACCACTGAAGCAAGAAGCCAAGGACTGCAGAAGCGCCAATAATTGTGGAGTTATAGAAGCTCCAATTATAAGAAAGAACACCCGGAGGATCAAGAGACTGCATCATAGGTAGCAGAAAGAACAAAGTAATCGGCGTAGTCTTCCACATTAACCTGTGTGTCAGTTTTATATCTTAAATATCCTGGCAGGATTTGCTATAGTAGCAAATATACATAAAAGACAGTCAAACCCAAAAGAAAAAGATGTCAAGGAGAGCATGTGACATACGCCAGGGCGGTCCAATTTTCCTGTTGCTGAAGATTGGACCATAGTATCTTATTTGCTGCACTTGGTACTATCCAAGCCAATGCGACGCAAGCACCAAAGAAGTGGAATTGCAGGTCTGTCACCGTAGCAACAGAAACACCAATGGATACTACAGTAAGTGCAATAACCTGAGAAGTAACATGGTAAGCATCACAAATATGGCAATGGAGAACCAACAACTTTCTCTTTATGACAGTAAACGGACTTATCAAAAGTAAAGAACAACGCCAGAAATTGAACGAGTAACATATTTGTGTTTTCATATAATATTCCAGAAATTGATACAACGCCAGCACTCTGCCAGACATCCAAAGGAGTACTTCGCATTCTCAAATGATCAATTAAGAAATTTAATGCAGGACTTTATTGTGATACTGGAAATCTTCTATTTTTACGTGGTGCTAGAATATGCTTTCAATTTGGTTATCCTGAAAATAACTAAGTAATGCCCATTTAGATGCACACAAGGTATAGGATGAATGTACCAAAATGAAACAAGACAACCTCCAATTTAAGTTCATCTCAGAGATTCCAAACATGTTAGGTACATGTCCAAGACCCAAGGCCAGTCATATGGAGCAGTGTTTGTGCCAAGAACATATCCATCGTGGGCACAGCTCTAGCTAAGACAACATGGATAACACTTAACACTGGCTTCTTCATATATATGAAGTGCAAAACCATGTATTTACACAAACCGACACATAAATGTATATAGGGTAAAACAGATTGGTAGTACCTAAGGAAATCGTATATTTTCAATTTGGTACCCCAAGTCTGAATCATTACATTGTACTCTTTATCACTTTCTATCTTCTATTAAATGATTCAATCTCAAATTTTCATCCAAATAACTGGTGGAAAGGGACTACATGTTTTTGATAGGGGTTCTCACACAGCCACACGGCCTGTTTCATCAATTCCTGTTAACCATCCCTAGCAGTTGAAACGAAAAGGCATGGTGGAGAATTCTCATAGTGCAAGATTTAATCTATTCAAACAGTAAAACCTGAGATTTCTTTCTCATGGGCAACTCCCCCATCCCTGTGAATGGGAAAAGCAGCTACAGGTAAAAGCTAAGTCACATGATTCATCTAAAACAGGTCACGCTCCAACGCTCCACTCGGATTTGTGACAAATTCACATATTCAATATATTAAATTCGCGAATTCAAGAAAATAATCTATGAATTCAATATTTAAATTAAACTAAAATTGAGTCACAAGCCCAAGAGAGCAACTTAGAGGTCTCGGCTACTTTTGCAGCTAAGGCCCCACACATGAGCAATGAAGAAGCCCACTGACCCCCTTTTTATAGCCTTAATTGACTGCCATTTTTTCTTGTGCTTCCAACGTGGGATAGCTATCTAGGCATAGAAATGCCTTCCAGCCATTGTTTCTTTTGCTTCTGATGTGGGATATCTATCTAGGCATAGAAATGTCTTCCAACAATTTTTTCTTTGCCTATGAAATTTACGTTTTTAAATTATATTTTTACTAACTTTTATATATGAAAACATGTATGGATGCATATAGCATGACGTTCTCAAAGGCACTCCTGCTATAAGATATTTTTGAATTTTTCCACTTTTACGCTCTCACTCTAGCTCCCGCCCCCATTCTAGGGTCCAAGTAAATTTGTTGTTTTTGAAAGCCCTATGGTTTTCCTTTCCCATACGCCTGAATCTCTTAAGGCTCCAACTTCAATCCCCTAAAGACAAGTGCATAGGCTCACGACACCACCAACTGCACCTTGGAACTTTCATATGCTAGTGAATCAATCCAAAGAAAAGAAACACTTTGCAGGTCCCTGGATTGTGTAATAAATCCTTTTCTATAGCTTTCTGGCATGGCTCCAGTCAGTTCATAAGATATAAGTTCGCAAATGAACTATTTAAGAACATAATGAAGCCACCCTTTATATATAACTGAAAGGAAGCAACATTTGTAGTGACCTATTACTGAAATTTCTTGTTCTCTGTTATCTGTTAGAAATCATTGGCAGGAAAACCAATGAGGCACCGCCTCCTAACAATATCTACAAAATTCGATGTGTTGAATTTGTGGATCGGAGCAACTTCAGAATAGAGTTGGTGACTCGGAACTGATCTAGAGAGTTCAGCCAGTTTTGGGGGAAATTACTCTAGTCTAGTTGTATGATGCTTATCCAATTGAGATTTTCTTGCACTGCAATATGCTGTAGAGACTGCTACTTTTGATACCATAGTGAGGGTAATCATTCTTTCCGATTTCTTATTTTTTGTGGTGTTCAGCTGCAGCAGTAATGACATAAAGGGAGTCTGAATGGTTCAAATCCACAGCAGTGTCTATTGTTTATTGAACTAGTAAATTGTTGGACATATTCTAAGAATGTTGATGATGTTAATGGCTATAGGAGCCCCTGTCCTGGAGCATTTTGTCAGCTATAATCGGTTTGTTCACATTAGAGCTATCACTAAATTGTTGCAATAAAAATAGACAAATAAATAAAATACAAATCTTGAAAAGAAATCTAATAATACATGTATACATATCTCAACACTATTTTACAATAAATATATGTCTCTAGGAAATGGCAATAGAATGAGAAAACAAAATTTCTGGGTGCATACTGTAGTTACACATCTCAAATAGCGAGTAGTTACCTTCTGGAATGAAATTCTTTTTCGGAAAAGAATAAATTCAGCTAAAACAATGGCTGGTGTTACAGCAATCTTGGCCATCTGATAAAATCCTACACTGAAAATACATAATTTTATTAAGACTTGAAAGAAGTAGCTAAGACTATTGAAGCAAATCAATTAAGTTTTTAAAATCTTACCTATTATACTTCAAGCTTATATTAGCAAGCCCAGTAGAGAAAGACATAACTATCCCAAGAGCTAACAATGAAAAAAACTTGGTTGACTTTGATGGAGGAGATGCAGGAAGGATAGATAGAGCTTTTAAAAGGGCCATTAATAACCAGCTACATATGTAATGAATGAACGTGAGAAAAATTGGGTAATTGAATCCAACTGTGACAAGCACCTGAACAAGGAAACAAATAGCAAAATAAGTATAAAAACTCAAACACGATAACATTAAAGAACCTATTTATCCAGAAGAGGGACAAACCAAGGTAAGGAGACTAACCAATTTGTTCATCAAGATAATACTAACAGAAACCACAAAATTGAATGTAAGAGCCACAGTGGGCCCCAGTAGGGGTTGCTGTTGACGCTTTGCACTTCCAAATAACTGTAATTTGCTAAATAAAGACGCCCGTACTTCCTCCAGTGCTTTTCCTAAATCACAACAGATATGAAATACCAACTAATGAATGCATATAAGAGAGGCAGCACCAATAAAAACAGCGTTCTATAGTACGAAAATGCCTTGAAAATAAATACACTCCAGTCATACATGGGCTAGAATTGAGATCACAACAAATAAAGAGTCAGCCTGATATAAGTCATAAGAGGATATGCCAGAGTTTGATATAAATTTGCTCAAGTGAGACAAATAAGATATGAATAACTAAGTCCAACAACAAAAAAGACCTAAAGAGTAATAAAAAAGAAAAAAAATTCAGATCCCCATTTGAGTACAAAACCAAAAAAAATTAACAAAATCCTCTGTTAACGACATCGCACTGTTTCTGCAGACACGTGGAGAATTGGTGGGGCAAGAGCGGAGGCAGTCTACACAGAATGAGAGAAAGATAAAGGAATTTTTTTAAGCTTGAGAGCTGTAGAGAGCACAATCCTCTGTTGTTTCCTCACCTCTGAATAGTGTATAGCTCATGCAGTGCCAGAGATTGTACATGGGAATGGTAAGCTTAACATGTGCTACAGAGTTAGAACAAGTGCAAGGACATGAAGACCTTACTGTGAGTGTGCGGAGTGCGCCACATATCCTTGGGGATACTCACATTCTTGCATCCTAATAGACTGGCCAAGAATGACCCTCTGTGCCAAATACACACAAACGAGCCGCTAACACTTGGGTTGGAGCCAACTCATACAAGGCGAATTCCACAACAGAAAAATTTGAAGTACTGAGAAAGCAAAGTAGTGTAGTTCGAGAATTGCCACCATATTTGAACATTTTCTTGGCAGGTTTACCAAATTATATAGCCTCTCAATTTTTCATAAGAATTAGTGAAATGTTTGCTTCGACCTACAAGATCTTTGTGAAATTATTTACAACCTTATCCTTAAAATGTATTTGTCAAAAGAGCACACCGGCCCCCTTGTTCGAACCAACATAGAACACTCTATATACCCCTTAGGAGTGATGGGAAGTAGCTGGAATTATATCCCCTACATATCTTTATTTTTCCTTTTAGGTTCTATTCTATAAACTTTCACTGTTGTTTGTTTTAATTCACAAGTTTTGAACTATTGAAAAACATGTTAAAGATGTAGAACACCTCATACTAGAGTAAATATTCAGTGTAATGGTGATACCACATCATTAGTAACACGTGGTATCACCAACCAATAATAATATACCATGTATGATAAGTGAACCCCATTATTCCAAGGTATTAGTCACTTAACATGATCATTATTGGAAGTTACTACAATTAATATGATCCACTACACACACATGATATACTATTATTTGTTGGTGATATCATATGTTACTAATGATTTGGTATCACCATTACATTGAATATTATCTCCCACAAACTGACAATTAAGCTTGTTTTCCAGAGAGATCTCAATATGAAACCGTCAACTGGCAGGACTTAATACATTTATTATACCTAACCAGACCAAGATTATAGTTATTGGATATAGTCAAAATATCGGCATCAATATTAAATATTAGCACCACTTATCTTTTTCCAAAGCATATATACCAAATGATCCAGAAGGGATTTAAAGTGAC